CAATTATTTTCATGTGTACTTTTTTGTAAAATTCTTGTTTATCATTCAGGGCATATATTGCAATCAGGAGTGTTTTCATATTATTGTCCATTATTTCCACCATTAATACTCTTCCGTCTTCATCAGTATGAATCAATTTTGCTGGGATAGTCTCTTTAATGTATAAAACCACTCCTCTTTTCTTACATTGAGTCGAGGAAGTGAATATTTTCCCTAATTTTGGCTGTACCAACAGTTGTTCATATTGTTTTTTAATATGTACTTCTTGTAAACAAATGATATCAAATTTTAATTTCTCTAATTTATGAAAAGTTTTTCTTCTTTTAACAGCTGAGTTAAGTCCATTTATATTCATTGAAATCAATTTTTTCTCTTCCATGATTATATTTTGTAATTAGGTTTGGCAGCACTCGTAGATCTTAGTTCACCTTGTTCTTTAATCTCCACTTGTCCACCTACTGCGCCTTCTTCTTTTTCGGTGCCCATTTGGTCCTCTTGGGATTCAATTGGTGAGATCTCTTTTTCTGCCTCTGCCTCTCTCCTTCCAAAAAATTCAGCGTAAAATAGTTCTGCTTTCTCAATTGAATCAATTCTGTGTCTCTGTTCTTGCCATGTAAGCATTAGTCCTTCTGGAATCAGCCCTCTATAATTCACCTCCTTTTTCAATAACATTTTGGTCAGGAATCGATATTCTCTTCTCATCTCTCTCACTCTTCTAGGTATTTGTTTTAAAACCACAATCTCTTTGCCTTTATATTTCAACGTCTTCTCTCTTGCCACTTGTAATATTTGTATTTTAATGGCTTTTTTTTTGTAAATCTGATGTGAACCTTTCTTGGTAGGTTGTTTCTCATCGCATATCTTGTAAAGTCTTGGTATACCTCATCTACTCCATCCGTCATCTTTTCCTCTGTTATTTCCAAAGCTTCCACCAAAATTTCTATCATTATTGCAGCTAGATTTTGTCCTTTTTCTTCCTCTATATTTTGAAATCTGAGGTAAAATTCTGACCTGTCCATCTCCCACTTCAGCATCCCGCTTTTGTCTTGTTCAACCACTGTTAATCTACTGTCAATGTTTCCAATCTTCTCATCGCTTTGTTTATCTTCTTCAATTTTTTGGAATCTCTCATCATACTTCACCATCATTTGTTGAATGTTTTCAATTTTTTCATCGGTCTTCTCTGTCCTTTGTTCAATGTTCTCTGTTCTTTGTTCAATATTCTCTATTCTCTTTTCAATAGTATCTGATTTTGTTTTAAGATCTTGGATTCCTTGCATAATCATCTGTAAAGTCACTTGTTCTTTATCTTGCTTTAACGTTGTCTGGATTAAGCGTTGTCCTCCGAGTGGTGGGGAGGCAGAAGCAGAAGTTGAGTCGCCAGGAGGTATGGGTTTCTTACTCATTTTGAGCGATTCAAGATCTTCAAATTCTTTTAATCCTTAGTCCAATTAATAAAGTAGCCAGTGATAATCCAAGTACAAATGGGAGATAAAAATAGTAGAAAATAAAAAGCCCAATAATAATAAAAAAGAAAAGAAAAGAAAAAAAAGGGAAAAAAAGAAAGATTCTTTGGGTTCTTCAGAACCTTAATCCAATTATGAGATAGTCCAATTGTAATCCAAAGTAAAAAATAAAAATAGGAAGAAGAAAAAAAACCCAATAGTAATAAAAAAAAGAATAAGTAAAAAGTTTCTTCAGGTTCTTCACACCTTAATCCAATTGAGAGTTCTCAAAAATAAAGAAAAACCATAAAGGTAACCCAAAAATATAGATGGAAGAAGCAAAAATCCCAATAAAAAAGGAAAGGGAGAAATTCTGAGGCCTTCCCTTTAAAATAAAAAGTAAACGTAAAAATATTACAAAAATAAAGGTTTACAATAGAACTGGTAAGGAGGGGTAAAAAACAACAACACTGCACTTTAATTATCCAAGGCTCTTCTTATGACTTCTCCACGAGCTTCAAAGTCAAACTTCAAGTATTCAATTGTTGATAGAAGTCCAGAAGAACACCTTGTAATAAGACTCTCCCGTGCTCTTCCCTCTATCTTATCAAGTTGCAATGTCCTTGAGAGAGAGTTTTTCACAATTCTCTCAACTTCAAATGGAGTATTTTCAAGCCTCTAGTTGGCAGTGTTACAAAGTTTCTTTGTTCTCACTTCCCCCTTCCTTTCCCAGGAAAAACACAATAGGAATTAAAAAAGAAAGAAAGAATATATATATATATATATAAATAAAATTTACTAAAGGGAGCCTCTAATCTAAAAAAAAAAGTCAAAAAAGAGAAGAAAATAGATAAATATATATAAGAGAAAAACCAGTCCAGTTAACAATTGCTAAGTCGCAATAGAAGTCCAGTAACAGAAAAAATAAAATAAAAAGCCAAGCCTCACTTTGACATTTCCCTTTAAAAACCGCCGCTTATTCAATTTTGCCAAAACTCTTACAGATTTCTTATTATTATTAGGGTGTCCTTTCAAATCTCAAAATATTGGTAAAAAAAAATTATCACCGAGCCGATACACTTTCTCTTTCAATCTCTTCCGTACCAGAGCTGTCCCAACTTCAACAGCTTTGAAGGCTGCCTCTCCGCCGCCGGCAAGAAGGGCTTCTCCTGAATCAACCAGGGACTTTGCAGTGTCCCTGGGATCCACAGGATGTGTCCTTCACTGTCACTGTCTCTACGGGACGGTTTAGGTCCATTTGGACCAACCAGGGATGAAGATATCGGCTGCAGTCTCAGAGCCCTGAGATTGCAGCCGTATCGTCGCGACGTCAGCTCCGCCCTCTCATCTATGACCCATTTTCAATGCCCTGACTGAAGGAAGAAGGTTCTCACCCAAGATATGACAGTACATAGCTCCATCCATCGTCCCTTTGATGAGGTGAAGTTGTCCTGTTCCCTTATTAGAAAAACACCCCCAAAGCATAATGTTTCCACTTTCAAGTTTGACAGTGGGGATAGTATTCTTGGGGTCATAAGCAGCATTCCTCCTTCTCCAAATATGGCGAGTTGAGTTGATGCCAAAGAGTTCAATTTTGGTCTCATCTCACCACACTTTCACCCAGTTTTCCTCTGAATAATTCAGATGTTCATTGGCAAACTTCAGTTGTGCCTGTACATGTGCTTTCTTGAGCAGGGGGACCATGCAGGTGCTGCAGGATTTCAGTCCTTCACAGCAAAGTGTGTTACCAATTGTTTTCTTGGTGACTATGGTCACAGCTGCCTTGAGATCATTGACAAGATCCTCCTGTGTAGTTCTAGGCTGATTCTTCACCATTCTTATGATCATTGAACCTCCAAGAGGTGAGATCTTTCATGGAGCCCAGACCAACAGAGATTGACAAATATTTTATGTTTCTTCCATTTGTGAATAATCGCACCAACTGTTGTCACCTTCTCACCAAGCTGCTTGGTGATGTAATCCATTCCAGCCTTGTGTAGGTCTACAATTTTGTCCCTGACATCCTTGGACAGCTCTTTCATCTTGACCAGGGTGGAGAGTTTGGAATCTGATTGCTTGCTTGCTTCTGTGCAAAGGTGTCTTTTATACAGGGTAACAAGCTGAGATTAGGAGCATTTCCTTTAACAGAGTGCTCCTAATCTCAGCTCGTTACCTATATAAAAGACACCTGGGAGCCAGGAATCTTGCTTATTAATAGGGGATTGTTATGTCTCACCTTTCCCCTTTCCAAGAAAGATGAAGAGTCCAAACTCAAACAAATACAGGCAGGCAAAAAGACTCAGTCTTTACAGAGTTAATTCCTTTATACAGATAATGTCCTTGGCATTCTAACACACGCTGCCTGCCAAGTCCGAACTGATAACAAGAAGAATTAATCACTAAAGCTTCCAACGCAGACCACAAGAAACAATCACACCGAAGCCTGAAAGAAAAGTAAAACTTTGTCCCGTACAAGGTCTCCAGAGAAAACACATCCATTTTTATCCCCTGTGGGGTGTGTCTCAATGACTCAGCTCACTCTCTGATTCGCCCACACCTCCTACATTGCAGCTCACACTTCTTCCTACGACGCTGCCTAGGATCAAGCCAACATTCGTCTACTTGATTCCTTGTCAGAGGCTGCTCCGATATGCCCTCCTCCTCCTGATTAATGTCAGGTTGTTCCTCTTGGTTATCTGCTGAAACCTGAGGTATTATCAGGGAGGAAGGCATTGCCAAAGAGGAAGGTCCTGGGGAGGAAGGCATTCCCAATTCCTCCTCCTCATCTTCTGAATCCTCTTCCTCTAACAACGCAGGCTCAGGAATTGGAGCCACAACAGGGGATCAAATACTCACTTCACTCATTAAATTGCAAATCAATTGATAACTTTTTTTGAAATGTGTTTGTTGTTGTTATTCTGTCTCTCACTGTTAAAATACATCTACAATTACAGACTGATCATTTCTTTGTCAGTGGGAAAACATACAAAATCAGCAGGGGATCATATATGTCTTTCCCCCACTGTATGCCATGGAATATTTTACTACTTGCATGATTAATTTAAAGAGTCTTTTTAAAAGAAGTATAGGCAAAACTGCCTTTCGTGAAGATTAAAAAGATACTGCATCTTTAAATAGGGATTCATCTAAATTGTTCTTCTAAATGATGGAACACAATCCAATCCACATCTGTTAGATATTTTAAGTTTCTAAAATTATGTTTTAACATAAAAATACTACAACCTTTATTTCTTATTCCAAAAATACATGGGGCTCTTTCTTTTTTTAAAAAGTAATCTTTCTTCTGTAAAAAGCTTTTCCGGCACCTAAAGCACTTAATACACAATTTTTTGAAAGTGCCCTTCAGATTTCAAGATCTGAAGAATGGTAACATTAAAGAAGTAGCAGAATCAGAGGATAAAGAAAAGAGAAAAGATGGGGGTAGGTTGGAAGAGAAGAAATGGAAAATAGAAGCAGTCACTAATGGTGCCCATCTGCCCTTTGCATTAACTTGGCACAAATGGAAAGGACAAAGCAAAAAGTTGGTGAGGAGGAGGAGGAGGAGAAGGAGAAGAAGAGAGAGAGAGAGAGAGAGAGAGACATTCAATTTGAACCTATGCCTATTATTGTCAAGGCTGTAACATTCCAGCTGATAAGAAAAAAATCACTGAACAAATAACAGTAGTCTAGAAAATACAAAGTGTTGGGATTACAAATTTGAGTGTATCATCAATACAAACTGGTTTTTGAATGTCCTTTGGGAGAGCAATTGTAGTGTCCAAACTAGAAAGAAAAACAATGCAATACCACATGGAGGAGAATTTTTTCCCATTTTGGTTTATCAAAGCATTTTGCTTCATAGATTTTGTTTTCCTTTTAATTGTTATTGTTTTTGGCACAGCTTTTCCTCTTCTTTTTAGCAGCTGTCAAAATGAGGCCTCAGAGATCTGACCCCAGCAAACAGCAGGTTTAGCTGTTGATGGCCACCTTCTTGCTTGCCTCCAAAGGCTGTAGGCTCATAGTGGAAAAATTCCCCCCTCCCCAAGTGATTTTGTTTTAAAACCTTGATGAAGGTTGATGGACAAAACATTGCAAGCTCCTTTTGCCTGGGAGAAATGCATTATTTGTTTAGTTCTACTTCTGTTTATTTCCCCCAGTTTTTGCCATTCCAGAGAGGTTAAAAGTACGTTTGAAGAGTGCTTCTACCTCTACATTCAATGCTGGTCCATTTGCAGTTTCTTCTAAAATATTTACTTTCGCAGGTCTAGAACACACACCTGGAACACAGAAAAAGGGAATTGGGCACCAAATAAACTCTTAATAATTTTTGATAATTCTATTTTATACAATTCTATTAGGAAAAAAACACACTTGCATTTTCATAAAATGTTCACACTCACTCAGTTTTAAATCCTGAGTATTACAAAGACTCAGTCAGATGAAAGAAAGGCTAGCTGAAGAGTGAGGATTGCCTAAAACCAAATCCTCAATTTTTTCAAGTGTGTAAAAGCATACAATGAAAGCAAGAAATATCTTTATTTGAACTTGGCCATGATAGCTAATTTTCAACTTATGATTGGTACCTTAACAAACTGTTCAAAATTAAGATAGCCTTAGATAGCTTTATTGTCTGTAAAACACTTAGATTCATCCCAAAACACTGCTTACAACAGATTGCCAAATGTCCTACGGTCATGTGCTTGCCATTTGCAATCTTCCCTGCCAGCTTCCCTAGAAAGTGCTTTCCACTTAGATTTTAGCAGTGAGAATTTCCAGCACCAGAAGTGAGAAGTTCATGTGTGGGCTACATTGGGCTTTCCAGGCCTTGCCCAGAGCCATGAGGCACCCCACTCCTTACTTTAGTGCTGCCTCCCTACTCTGGCACTGAAAATCCTTCCTGTTAAATAATGTTTGTAAATAATGTTTAACATCCAAGCATACTAAACCTCTATACATTTGACTGCTTAGCAATGATGGGAATTTGCTGGAATAAGTTTCCAAAGGAGTCTTGTCTTCCAGTAAAGAAACAGTTTGGGATGGGTGGCTTTTTCCAAAAGTCAGGCACTGATGCTGCATTGTGCAAAGCCCCCCACAGGTGTTCTAGCCTAGTCAGCAGGAAATGAATGGCAGAACAGGAGGGAACCCAAGAGGAAAAGAGTAAGAAAGTATGCTCCTCCTCCATTCCTTTTCTATCTCCTTCCTCACTCTCACTTTCTGTTGGCAAATACTTCCAGCTGCACACTTCCCAGAAAAGAAAAAGTATCTGGGCAAAAGAAACATTTTTCCCCTCCCTACCCAGCCAGCCACTCCTGACAGCAAAGTTTAATGCAAATTTTCCAAAAGGCCTACACAGCCAGAATCCCCACGTCTAGGATTTAAACCTCAGGCCTTTCCCCCGTCTTTTCAAGGCAAAGAACTCTTGGCTATCGTTTTAATGTTGGGGGCACCTGTTCCACATTTAACAATTCTATTTAGACTGAGATTTGTAGTTTCTTGTCTCTTCAGCTTCAGAACTAGATTTTATTGCGCTCTGGATTTTACTCCAATATATCTTGAATAAATTTGTTTGAATTATGCCTTTTACAAGAGAGATCACTAATGCATCACAAGAAGAAATACTTGCTGTGTTGAAATGCACTCATTTATGGGTAACTAAAAACAACAACCCCAAAATTGAAGAAACCATACCGATCCATCTGAAGCACTGGCTCCGACTTTGTCTCCTCTAGCATTCCAGCAGACTTCAAATATTCCACCGGTACCTCTGTAGCTATGTACTAGAGTCCCACTCTATGAAAAAAATGACAACACCTTCATTCAGGGGAAAATGTGTACCATTTTGTTTGTAATTTCAAACTGATATTGTAACACATACATTTCTGTAAATAATGTTTGCATTAGTTTTGCCTATAGCTTTTGGAGCAATAACTTGACCATTTGTATTTGCATATCCATGTTCCAAATGGATAACTATATGTTATTAATCTTTTGAAGAAGAGTGGACTGTTTTTCTCCTTTTGTGTAAAGACAGATGCAAAAAACCATTTAAACAGTTCTGCTTTCTCTCTGTTGCTTGTCACCTTCTTACTGTTTTCTCCCATTAAGGAAGCAATTGTTTCCTTGATTTTTTTTCTCATTTTTACATGCTGAAAGAAACTTTTTTTAATTTTTTGACTTTTGTTGCAAGCCTTAGTTTGTTTTGAGCCTTAGCCTTAGCTTTGCTGCTTTCATCTTTGGAGGCTTGGGTTATTTGCTGATATTCTGCCTTAGTTAAGTGCCCCTCTTTCCACTTTTTATGGAAGTCCTTTTTGTCGTTCAGTTTATCGGAGAGTTCTTTATGCAGCCATGCTGGCTTCTTTTGAGAGCTGTTACTTTTCTTCATTAGAATTGTGCTAGACTGGGTTTTTATAATCTCACTTTTAAAAATTCTCCAAGCTTCTTGTGCTGTTTTCCCCTTGAGGATTCTCATTCATGGAATCCTTCTCAAGTTCTAAGTGTATTGAAATTAGCTGTTTTAAAGTCCAAGACTCTAGTTTGACTTTGTTCTATTGTTTATACTTTCATAATGTTGAATTCCAATATTGCATGATCATTCCCACCCAACGTTCCTGTAGCTTCATCTCTGTTAGTGAGAATTAAATTCAATATGGCTGATCCCCTGGTTCCCTTCTTTATTTTTTGGAGACAAAGTTGTCTGCTATATTTGTCAGGAAACTGTTTGATCTTCCACTTGGTGCAAAGTTTGTTTCCCAGTTGATATCGGTGTAGTTTAAATTCCCCATGTACTTCCTACATAGTTTAGTTAATTGACTCTAAAAATCATTTATTTCTTCTATTTGGTTGAGTGGCCTATAGTATACACCTATGGCAATGTCATCCCCCCCTTTTATATTGACCCAAATGCATTCAGGACGTCATTATTATCATCATTATCTTGATAACATAGATATTTGTTAACTATTAACTTACTATACAAAATACTTGACCTTTAACTAAGGGTACATATTGGGTAAGTAACAAGTAAGGAGTCTACATAAACTGAAAACTGAATTAAAAAATAACTAAGAATGAAAATACGCTTAAAATGTAATTTTGTCTCTAATTTATAAGAATGTGACCCTATAACAAGAGATCCAAACTACAAATGATAAGTTTCAGCCAGTATAAAAATGTGAGGATTGCCAAAAATTTAGCAACATTGGGAGAGTCACTGCTGAACAGAATACATTGGTATTTTGAGCAATATTTCGGGACTAATTTCTTAATTAAGTTCACATATTGAGTGCAGACTGCTATTTCTAGGAAGGAATACAGCTAATCTCATTAGCCTCAAAGTTGCTTTTGAGAATTTGACTGAGAATCAACATAAGAACAGTCCTTCTGACAGATAAAAAAAGTCAACAATGTTACATTAGGTTAGTTTTTGGACTAAAGTCAAAATCTGAAGTCTACCATGGTGAAAAACATACACACTAACCATGAACATTTAAGTGTCTCCATTAAACATGCTTTAAATTTATTTTCAAACAATCAGACTTGCTACATGTCTCTGGACTATAAGCAGGACATTCTGTTGTTATTTTACATCATATGGTACATATTATATATTCTAAATCTAATGGCAATTGGAGTTTAAAGTACTTGGAAAGTATTAGGTTATCTACTTCTAATTAAGCTACTGAAAGAACACTGTTGATAATGTCTTTCAATTAATGAAAACATAAAGCTGAGGGAAAGGACTTGTTAAGTTTTTAAGAAGTATGATTTAATCAAATTTTATATAGCTTTATTGCTGAAAATCATTTTAGAATACGAACATTCTACTTTACAACATATGTAAGATATGCCTACATGTACTATCTGTTCCTAGACACAAAAACTGCTAGTGGCAGGAATATCCTTTTGTTAAGTCTATTAGATTCATAGGCCTCTGCCACATTTATTTAAATGTATGTATCAAAAATATTTATATTATGTAGTAAAAACAAGTTACAAACACATTAAAGAGCATATTGAAATTTATATCTTAGTGCCATGATATAAAATTACCATACCTGGGTATTCCATATATGAACACATTTGTCGAAGGATCCACTTGCTAAATATTTTCCATCAGGACTAAAAGCTACACTGTAGACAGGTTCTTGATGTTTTGTTAACGTGTGAGTGCAGATTCCTTTTTCTACATCCCACAACCGAACAGTAGAATCAAATGAAGCACTGAAGTAAAGAGATAAAACCTTTTGTAAAATTGAGAATATTGCTCATGTAGGTGATTAAAACATTACTATCAAAGTTAAAACAATCTATTGATCTTATGCAATGTACTTTGCCTTCCTATGCAAATATGTGCTTGGGCTTATCTCCCCATTCCATTGCTGATACTGAGGTTTCCCAATGGACAAAGTTCCTTGAACAACTATATTAGACTCAAAGCCCTATATTAGCTCAGTAGTCATAAATAGTATGTAGATGGGCCATGAAGCTTAACAGAGATAAATACAGAGGCTTGGAGGAAAAGGATGAAGTAGGAACTGCATCACAGGAATTACACAAGCTGTTAGAGCCCTTATTCTGTGCTCAGCACAAAAATGTAGTTCTCTGTTCCTCCTCTGCCAGTGCTGTCAATGCAAGGAACATTTTTCAAGACATGCTTATGCTTCTAATATTCTATGAAGAATACCAATAACTTTGTATTTGTATGTAAATAGTTAAATATAACTGAGAGTACAGGATGCTAAGAGACTGGACCTGGCTGAAGCCATCTTGAAAGCTCCAGTGTTGCCACACTGGAGCTGAGGGATAGGGAGAGGGGATTTGAGATAGCTGGGATTTTGTACCCAAAACAAAATACTTTCCCTTGAGAACCACGGACATTCTCACACCTAGTCAGAGGAAGGCGGCGTGATGTCACCAGGCAACCAGACAGCACCTTGATTGGACTATGTGACTAATTTGTTTTGAGAAAGTGACAAACTTTTAATTAGGTGAAAACCACAAGAACCTTCAGAGTCGGTTTTCACCAGATCTGTGCCAATATGATATATCCAACAAAGCTTTTCTTTGAGGAATTTACCTGCCTCGGATTTTTGCTTGCTATGGATCTATTACTTGGAAATCTGACATTGGGAAGAGAAGTTGTGTGTCAAGTGCTTTTGTATACAGTAAGAATAGAAGACATTGCATCGTTTTGCTTTTACCTTGCCAGCATAATGTTGCAGTTTGGGTTGCTGGTACCTGGTCCTGTTGGACTCCATTTGATAGTATAAATCTCTTTGTTATGTGCTTGAAGGTCATGTACACAAGTGTCCTGCTTCATATTCCAAATCTATATAAAGAATCAATTGAATGGAGATAAATAAAATCTGCTTTTAGAAATATTTTGCCCATCTACAATGCAGGTCACTATGAAAAAAGACTAGTAATTTCTGTTTTTAGATGGTTTTAAAAACATTGCAAATCCTTTGAAAACTTTACAGATACTGTTTTATAAACTTCAATTCACGTTCTTAGAAATATTATGCTTGGACCTGAGATCATACCTTTAACGTCATATCATCTGAGCAGGATGCTAGAAGCATACCAGAAGGATCCCATTTAATTGCATTGACCTCATTCTGAAATAAAGGATTTATTTTATAATTAGTGTATATACTCTATAAACAGTGTTGTACTTTTTACAAGCAAGCAAACTACGTAAGCTGAATTTTTTGGCACATTTAAAAAAACGTAAATTTTTCAGAAGTTTCTCAAACAGGGAAATAGACTGGATGTTATTGAACCATTTTGCAAGCAAAGGTTTATTAAGATATTACCATTGGAAGATAATGATTAATTTTGCTGTTATAAGCAGATAAACAATGGATTTCTGTGAAACATAAGCCTAAATTTGGAGAGAATTCAATCTGTTGCTTGGTTATTGTTTTCATTTTGTCCAAGACATCCCTTTAAAATGTCAAGATTTTATGCATTCCCAATGCAGATGGAAGCAAGTTCCCTTTTTATTACAATTACTGCAGGGTTTGTGATTTTGTGCGAGATGCTTATAGAGGTTAAATGTCAATGAATTAATGTCTTAAGGCAATATTATTACTACCACATCATTTCATGGGCATTTTGTCTGTTTTATAAATAAATGGGGATGTATTGAAAATTAGAAATTGGAATTAGAAACTGCTTCATGTAAGAATGCAAAAGCTGTTGTGTGTAGTGTAATGCAGAGAGACTTTATATTAATTACAATAATAATAAGCCTAAATATTTTTTAAAAAATTCAAAATTTAATTTATATTATAAATAAATTACAATTTAAAATTATATATTTTCTGGATTTGATATTTAATTGATAAATTATCTTGCATTCTCTCAATATTACAGTTAGCTATCTTTTTTACAGATCTCTTCACAGGTTAAAAAAATACCTATGGGTTTAAAATAATTTCTGGGGAAAGTGTTGCATACCAATTCACTACTATGAATTCTATTTAATGTTCTCATAAAAATAGAATTTCTATTTTTCTAAAGCAAAGCTATAACAAATAAAAATTGATTTCACTCCATACTTGTTAACATCAATGAATTTACTGCCAAGAATATACAAGATTAAATTTAAGACTAAAATCCCTAATGTATTATCTCATTTTAGAAAGAAGGCAAAACAATCTGTGGTAATAATGGAACTTTCCTTCTTAGCTTCCTGTTTGCCAGCTAATTTTTGAATGAGGAAACTCCCATCCCAGAGTAACATGTTTCTATTTTGCATGAAGACATAAATATATATTCTCAAAATTCAATATATGCCTGTCAGCTAAATGGGTTAGAAAGCTATTGATTTAAGAATATAGTATTCCTGAAATATTGATAAAGTCTGTTTTAACTGCAATGTGTTAAGATTATTGCTTAATGTTACCGTGTGGCCTTGAAAGGTTTTGACTGGACGATCGCAGCCAAGTCTGCATACATGTATGCACATATCAGTGCTGCATGATGCAAAAGTAGTATTGTTCTGCCAATCTACGTCCAGGGCTGGGGCTGTGAAAGGAGGACAGAAAGGGACCATTAGGAAATTTGGCCAGGAAGCAAATTACCTTTGCAACTGTTAATTTAATTAAATTACATGTAGCATCCTAACACTATATTATTCTGATAGTATGACCAACATTATTCTGATAATATGACTGCTATTTACAATAGAATAAAAACATTACATACCAGACTTTGATGCCACAGCATGCAGTGGGTCTAGTTTCCACTCTAATGACATTATCATACAAATAACATATATTAAAGTGTTTTATGACAGTTTTGCTGAAAATCAGCATTTACTTCTGATTTTCAGCAAAACCAATTGCTAGTGAACCATTAGTTCATTGAACAACTGCAGTTTTCACTTAATGGCTGTGATGTTCACTAACAACCATTGCAAAAAAATGTAAAATTGGGTCAGTTATGTGGATGACCCAATTTATGTCATACTTAAGGACTACCTATAGGAGAAAAAACACCAAACAAATCTATAAACATTCCCACAGCATACACAGTCCCCACAGTTCTGAAACTCATAAAACACTATCAGAATAAATTAGGTAATAATGTAATTTTTGCATGCATGCCAGAATAATGCTTTGGGGAAACGAGAGGATAGACTTTTAGAACACTATCAGTTTGAACTAAACATGTGGCCCAGACTCTATACTGAAATAATACAAGATGAAATCTTGACATAAAACAGACATAAAGCATTTAAAATGTCTGTGGCACCAAATATCCAATGCAATTTATATTGTTTGAATAACAAGATGAAAATGGAATAATTTATGCAATTTATATGATAATATTGTTTGATATCATTTATATAAATTTATGTCATTGGTATAATGATAATCAGACTAAATCACTACAAAGATACTATCCCTTATTTAAAAGATAATTGAGAATAATGAATATTTCTCAGTGATTTGGTCTATCAATACTTTATGGTATGGCAATATTCAAAATTTTATTCTCAAAGTTGTCTAACAAAAATTATTTGACTTCTGTTCTTATCAGACAAACGCAATCAAGCAAACTAGGATGCAATAGCCTAAATCTGTTTAATAGTCACTTGTGATACATAATTAATTATGACAGAGTAAACTTTTTTCCGGCTTGTTAAATATAGCAAGCATAAATAACAGTTAATTACCTGAGTGGAAAGGAAACTGTTGTTTAGCTTCACCTGTATGAGCATCCCAAATTATTGTTGTCTAGGTAGAAAAGAACAAGCAAGTGGAAGAAATGAGTTAGGTGTTAAATAGCACTATCAGTTGTAAAGTCAAAATAATCCACATGAAATAGATAATGTGGAGTCTTCAACAGATAACGAATATGGCCATCTATAAACTGCACAAGAGTTGATCATAATAGTATTGTGCATATATAGAAATAAAGATTAGGGTGACACCACCATCTGGCAAGTACAAAAATAGCAGCTGTTTCAAGAATTGAAACAGAAGATTAAAAAGATAATTAGATAATTGATACTTGCAAATTATAGAATTCAACACTTACTTTATCAACGCCTGCACTTAAAATGTAATTGCCCTTTTTGTTCCACTTCAGAGCAAAGATGGGCCCTTTATGTTGCCCTAAAGTGCTTGCAAGATTTCCTGTGATGAATTCAAAAATAAAATCAGTGTTTTAAATAACTTGAACACTGAAACAAATTTAGGATCATTAAAAAAAATCAAATGATCTGGAAAAATTATTTCTTACCAACTTCTGTCCATATTCTTGCGAAGCCATCATATGACCCAGTAGCTAAAAGTGTTCCATCACTCTGTAAAATATGCAAAAAGAAGAGGATTTTTTTATATGAGGCCCAAATAAGTTATGATTCAATAATTCAATTCTGATTTTCTGGTATAAAAAAGGAGATACTTTCATGACAAAGAGTACCGGTAAATATCAATATCCCTTTATATCAAAAATTAATGGCTAGTTTGACAACTAGAAACAAGCCCGTTAATGCAGTATATTGTTCTCAGAATAGGATAAAGAGCCCTGGTGGCACAGTGGTTAGAATGCAGTATTGCACTATTGGAGGCAAACTCTGCCCATAATCCTGATAGGGCTCAAGGTTGATTCAGCCTTCCATCCTTCTGAGGTCAGTAAAATGAGGATCCACAGTGTTGTGGGCAGTATGCTGACACTGCAAACTACCCAGAGAGTGCTGAAAAGCACTATGGAGTGGCATAGAAGTCTAAATGCTATGCTATTGCTAGTATTACCACAATAATTTAGCTAATATATAATTATTTTAATGTGGCAATTTAACTCATCTGAAATGATTTACTTTTAAAATTTTATCTCAACATAATCAGGTTTTCTCTCTCTCTTTCTCCCCATAACATATTCCTAATGAAAGTTTCATGATTTCCCTTTCCTCAACAAAAGTTGCTGGATAAAAATGCATACAACTATAGGCAGTATGATAATGTACTAAGTAAAAGCCAATAATCTGGAAAAAACATTTCTACAAATAAAAAAAGTTTGCTATATACTATTGCCTTCAAAAATCTCTGAATGTTGTTATACTACCTGTAAATACTAAAAGAGGATAACTGTTTAATTTTTTGCAAGAGCATAAAAACTATGCTTATTTTTTTAGTATAAGTTTAGTATTTAGGGTTTTTTTTTTTAGTATAATGTAAATTTTAATACAGTAATTGGTTCTGGGAGGCGCAATAAGTACCAAAAACAATGAGTACCAAACATTTTTTTCCCATAAGGAATAATGTTGTGAGTTACAAGGCAGCCAACACCAATAAATTCTAGCTTGTGAGCTGAGTACCAAACAAATGATGAGTACCGGGACAAAAGATTCACATCAAAATGCACTGAGTACCAAATTTGATGAGTTTCAAAGCAGTTGAGTACCAAGGTATCACTGTACATGAGAATAACTGAATCTATGCTTTTTCTTTTTATAGATTAATAGGAATTATAATCTTTTTATAGATTAATAGAAGTTTCATAAATTTTATGGATGTAATGTACGTAATCTTAAGGTAAAGGTAAAAGTTCCCCTGCACATGCATGCTAGTACTTTCTGGCTCTAAGGGCGGTGCTCATCTCCGTTTCTAAGCCGAAGACTCAGCACTGTCCGAAGATGTCTCTGTAGGGATGTGGTTGGCATGACTAAATGCCAAAGGTGCACGGAGTGCTGCTTCCTTCCCACCAAAGTGGTTCCTATTTTTCTACTTGCATTTTTTATGTGCTAAGTTGGCAGAAGCTGGGACAAGTAACGGGAGCCCACTCCATTATATGGTGCTAGGGATTCAAACTGCTGACTTTCTAATCGACAAGCTCAGCGTCTTAGCCACTGAGCCACCGCATCCCTTAGGTAATCTTAGGTAATATTTTATTCACTTTAATAACATTCATATGGATGTTTTATTGTAGTTTGATAAATTTATTTTTCCATTTGTTACTCACTGATCAAAATGAAAGTATCTTTTTTAAAATGTATTTTCTGATTCATTTTTTAAATTATAAATTCTAATCTTTGTAACTTGAAAAATACAAAACTAAAGGATAGATTCTCTATGGATCTTTAGAAATATATTATTTTATTTAAATATTACATATGAATTTTTTTATTTTGAATATATAAATAAATGGTTCCCATCTACAATATTCTCAAAATAAACTGCTACTGCAGAAAATATCGTGACATTTTCAATGTGTTCCATAAGCACACTAGTCCAATTCTGGGTGTAAGGAGACTATTAGCATACATTTAAAATAACTGATAATATTAATGGGAGCTGCTGAACCATTATCCAAAACATCTAGAAGGCATCAAATTGCTTACACCTAAATTACTATTATACCTGCAAGGAAAAATTGGAAGAAATATTTATATTGATACCAGTGTTGACGAACCTTTTTGGCACCAAGTGCTGAAACGGGAGCATGGATGCATTCTATAGGTTCGCCACCACAGATCTATACTGTATCTATAACTTTCTAAATGCAGATTCCACTTTTTGTTTTTGAATCAACTGACTGTTGATCTTTTGCTAGCAACATGAATTGACCGATTGGTTTGTCACCTGAGCATGATGTTGTGGGTTGAGAGATACTGGTCCAAACTCACTCTGTCAGCTTTCATACTAGAACTGATAGTCTTCTGGTTTCTAGTCTGGTGCCCTAATCACTACAGTAAGCTGGTTCTGATTAATTAATTAATTAATCAATTTAATTAATTAATTAATTAATTTGTTCGTTCATTCATTCATTCATTCACTTATCAGCTTGTATATTTTATACACAAGCTATGTTCTATAGATAACTTAGAAGAGCTTTATCTGTCAACTTACATTCCAGTCTAGTGATGTCACATCCTTATTGCTGGGAACATCATGCCCTCCTTCTCTTATACAGTGCCTCAAAACTAGTTGTGTGGAAGGACCATTGTTGTTTTCATTAAGATTCCATATTCTGGCAGTGGAATCACCAGATCTAAAAAGAATGAATACATATATTACCCACAAAGAAAAGCTTGGGTCAAAATTGTTTTGAAATAATATTATTATATATTAGTAGAAAATCCACTTATCATATGTGCACATGCCTTTCTTCTAAGAATGAAGATTATCTGTCAATTCTATTTACCGTTATTGCTAGAATTGATACTGTTGGCAAGAATGAAAAATCTCAAAAAGTTTACATTTGTTTTAATCCATAATTTACCCTGATGCTAGTAGATCACTGACAGGATTCCAGGCACAGATGAACACTTCTGATTCATGACCCCTAAGAACTGTTGCTTTATTAGAAGGAATTTCAACATCCCCATCGATTTCCATTGGTTTTGAGTGATTATCTGCAAAACAAATGTAAATCTATGTAAACTAATTTTAAGCATAGTGAAAACAGAAACAATGAACATAAAACAACAGTAACAAAACTAATAGGAAAATTGGATTAAGCATAAACATTGATTGGAAATGTTAAGAGGACAAGTCCATTATTGATTGACAGTTTAAGCCCACATTTCTATTACCAGCACA